TTTCACATTTACTGATGGGTGTTTGAAGGGCTCTGAGGATGAGATCTAGAGTACAGACAGAAGGATTAACCTTGGACTAGGGAACAGAAACCTCTTGCACTGAGCTGGGAAAATGGGGAGAGATACAAATGGATACTTATGTTTGGAGAAAAGAAAGTTGCAGGAGTTCAAATCTGACAGTCTTACCTGATACTAATTCACTACTTGAACTACTGTGAACCTGGAGATCAGTCACTGACTCCTAAGTGAAATAAGAAAGAGACAGCACAAATTATAAGGTTGGTTACTTTCATAATACAGTATCACACTGATTTGGTTATTTAAAAATGAAAAACTAATGTTAACTTTGCATATCATTTTTATATGTATAGTATACTCTTTCAGTTTATTGGTCAGATGTATTCTGATATTTAATATTAAAATACTATAAACGTATCTAGGGAATCAATAATATACTAGTCAACTAACTACCATGGGATAAATCAATAAATAAAAGATAAAAGTGAATTATTTTTCTGATGCCCTAAAGAGGAATGGCTTTTTTTTTTAATCTCAAAATATAAAGGTAAATGAATAAGCCAAAAGAAAAGACTGATAGATAAGTCTAAAATACCAGAAACAAAATTAAAGGCAAATAAACACATATGGAAATATTTGTTATATGTGTAAAAGTATAACTATCTTTATTATATAATGAGTGGACATTTCACAAAAAAGGAATAAAAATGTTCAATTACTTGAGTATAAAAGCTTAAACATGTCCCATTCCAGCAGCTGTAGCTAAAAGGAAAAAAATATTCTAGCTTTCAAAACTGCAAAGGAAAAAAACCTTTACAACCCTTAACTGTGAGGTACACAAAACTTCTGTAGTAGGATAAACACTGATATCTACAACAGCAAAACTTTGGAATTGATTTAAATCTCCCAAGTACAGAAAAATAATTATACAAATTACAGTTTATCTATAAGACAAAAAATGCTATGAAGACACTAAAATCATATTTTTGAAGACAATGGTATAGAGAATATAAAATAAGGCAAAAGTTTTTAAAAGCACAGAAAAAAAGAACAGAAGGGAATATATAAAAAGGTGACGAAACTTTTTAAAAATTCCATAAAATAAATCATCTATAAAGTACCCTTTACACTGGTAAAATACATAGTAAAAGCCTTTTTAAAAAATGTCTTATGTTGAAACAGCACACTCCCCAAAACATGAGAGGAACGTATAAGCTAAAAATCTAGAACTTGACTATTAAATTTAATGCTAATGTCGGATGAAACACAAGCAATTTTAAAAATCTGAGTTTCCCCAAATTAGTACTGTATAGCTTTAAAATATCGTACAGAATCCATATTAAATACAGTAGGTCAAGAAGTTAAAAATATTACAATGCATGAATATTAGAATGGCCTTTAATATATTAAATCCTTAGTAATAAATCGTGTTTCTAGTCATTAACAGAGAGTCAAATGGAAAATGTGAAAATGGCTTTAAAATGTTCAAGTGCTACTAGACATAAGAGTGATTAAGTAACATTTCGTATTTCTCATATAAAACATTAGCCAGTAACATTCTCATGAGGGGAAAAGAAAAAAATGAAAATGCATGACTATGAATCTACCTGAATCAGAAATTCAAGCCCCTGTCAGCGTTTATAAAAATACTAGAAAGCTATGGAATTTCTACTGAACAAAGACCCTGCTATTCTTTTCTGGAGGTGCATCAGGTACTGACAGTCTCTACACCAAGGGTATCCCAGGACCACAGTAGAAAACACATACACTCGATGGAGCCGTCTTCTCATCCTGTGTCTCTTCATTAGTGCTATTTTCTTCTAGGTTTTTCTCTTCCATAGTGCTCAACTGGGTGCTAACAAACAAACACCACAATTAGTTCACACCATCTGGACTTGGCTCTCCACGTCTGTTCATGCTGTTCAGACTTCCAAAGCCTCTTTAGGAAAAAGGAAGGACCAGAATACTTGCTTTTAGGTAACTCAGCAAGCTATGTTATTTTTTTCTAACAAATCTTTCTGTTGTCAAATTTCTGGGTCTATCTATATACTGAGAAAAGCTAAAACGGGGTATACTATTTATTTTCCTCGTTGACTCAAAATGAGAGGCTACTAACAGAAAATAAGGATTACAGTTTTCTGAGGTGGTCAGGGCGTGGGGCTGTTACTCGAGGTCACGTACCTGAGTGGCCCGGAGTCACTGCCTCCCCGCCCGTTCCGCTCCAGCTTCTCAGAGATCTTAGGCAAGCCAGGCGCTTTGCCTTCTCTCTTCAGGCCTGAGAGAAGACGGCAGGTTTCAGGGCCCCAGCCCGGGAAGCCCACTCCCCGGCCGGGGCAGGGTACCGGGCCTGAGGCCTAGCCGTCGCCTCCCGCCGCCCCGTCCTGCCCCGCAGGGCAGCTCGCCAGGGCTTACAGCAGGTGAGTCTGGAGCCAGGGGCTGGCGGAGTCTTGGCCTTCCCGGCGGAGCACAGGTCTGGCGTTGGAGTCAGATTGAGCTTCTGGCCCCCGCGCTTCTTGCGCGAATAGACCCGCCGTGGCCACATTTCTGCCCACTCAGCCCCAGGCCTTGGGGAGCCTCTGAGCCCTAGACGGCCTGTCTCGCCGCCTTTTTGAAGATCAGCTCTACTGTCGGGGGCAGTCAGCGTCCAGGCGCAGGCGGCCTACGGAGCAGCCTGACAAGAACAGAGCGAGAAAAAGGAGAGGCCTCAGGACAGCAGCCGCAGGGCCTCGCTCCCGCCTTTTCCGCCGGCTAGGCGGTGCAGGGGCTTCTGGGAAGACGCGCGGTCGCGGACGCGGCTCCCTGCAAGCGTGGCGCAGGCTCCCTCACCTCCCATGTAACAACCCTTACTGGGAAATGAGAAAAGCCTTTTCCCGGTTCAGGGGGTCACTCATTTACTTTTCATTTCCTCATTAATTGGATGGCCACTACAGCCCCCGCTGCTGTCCCTTTCAAGCCCCACACAAGGCCTGAAAAACCGAGAAGAATTGGGTCTCTGAGCACAAGCAGTCCAGCCGGGGTTGGCCTCGCTGAGTGGGAAGGTTGAACAGGAATGAACGCACATGAAGGAGACAAGAAGTGTTTACCTGAGGAATCAAGTTCAGCCCCCTGGGCCACCAATTTACTGAGAGGCAGTGATACTTGAGAGTCCAACCAAAGATCCTCGGCACTAGGAAACTTCTTGAGGACAAGCAGAGTCCCTTATTCTGTTCCTAGGAGCCACTTCCTGGACCTTTGGGCATCCTGTGATCAATGTAGAATAAGGTGACCAGATTTTAACATTGGTAAAGCGGGACACCATTGATTGGGGGTGGGGCGGAGGAGGGGTGTGTTCTTGATTAAAAATTTGGTCTATAAGGAGCAACAAAAATTTTCATAGAACGCAAAAATAGTATTGTAATTTGTTTTTAATTTCAAAATAAGTACAATTTACAAATATAATACATTTAAAAAAATTATGTATAGGGCAGCACCTGTGGCTCAAAGGAGTAGGGCTTGGTCCACCTGGGTGACCTTGCCCAGGAGGGGAGTAGGGAGTTTACATTAGGCTTTTCATTTCCAAATGAAGTTACATTAACCTCTTCATTAACCTCTTGCACAAATGGAGTTACATTAACCTTTCAGCAGCTGAAACCATATATTCCCTTCCTATTGTCTGGCTCTTCCCTAGATTGTTGTGCATTCTTTCCAAAAATCGGGACTTTTTAAAAACGCTGCGGGACGTGGGACAAATTGTTCGAAAGCGGAACTTCTGATCAACTTAATGTAGAAGATTCCTCAGGTTGTCCCCAGCTAGTGCTTTAGGGCTCAATTCTTAGGCTCTGTCAGTTGGAGAGAGATAGGAATGACCTTCCTTTTTCTGCATACACTCAGGTTGAAATATCGGGATGCATCTCATAAGCATATTACACACATGACAATAACCATCTTCCTATTTGAAAAAATGGCAAAACATTGCACAACATTTAAAAATGCAGTTTGTCTAGATGAAATTACAAAAGGCTGGAAGATTTTTTTCTATGATGCCTCAATAGTGTGTGAACGTAAATACAAATACATGAATGCATTTATGTAATAAAATGCAATTTGTAGTAAAATCACTGACTTTCTAATTGAAAATCTGCTCATAGAAACAATTATGACAATCTATTTAATATGTAATTAATCACCAAAGTCCAGCTTTTGTAAATAACAAAGAGTAGGCATTCTTTACCTGGTTGGATACACTACTTTGAGTCACTGAATTTTACTGAGCACATTAATCTGTGTGAAGCACTGTGACAGATCCTTGGTATAGACAGTGAATCAGAGATTATCCTTCAGGTAAGGTTCTCACAGTTTTGCTGCAGTATAAAGCAATTATCATCTTTCAACAGCCCTTTTTTTACTCAAATACATAATTTACTGATAGGCAGTCTCTAGTTTACAAGCCAAGTCTCCTGGCTCCCCTCTCTCTTTGAGGACTGTTGTGAAAAAACTTGGGAGTTCTTGAATGCCTAGGGATGTCCTAGGCCTAGAAATGGAAGAAATATTAAAAAATGAAAATAGGTTAAACCAAAAGCTGATCTACTCCTTGGTAGTCCTATTCCCAAGAACTCAGTATATTGAATTATATTCATTCAGGTGTCATCAAGTGAAGATTTATAGAAATTAACGTATAGGATTTCAAAACTGGAAATAAACTTTGGTATGATATCTTTAAGCAGAAGAAGCCTTACAAATGATCTAGCTGCCCCTTCATTTTGCAGCAGAGGAAACCACAGCTCGTTATGACAGATGATTGGCATAGGAGACATGCCTGGCCTGGCATTTGGTTAGTATGCTTGTCATATTACCATTCATCCTACCACCTGGCTGGGAAAGAGGTGAGGAATACAGCAAAGAGAAGAGCTTTAAGCTCTTGCTAGCAAAAGGAGGGGAAGGGACTAGAAATAGACTTGGTCTGTATGATACTTCACCTAGAGCCAGCTTATAAAGGGGAAAGGAAATGTGTCCTCTACAAAAGGATAAAGTGGGACAGTGGCATCCCAAACTCAGTCACCTGTCTTCCCCCACTCCATCCCCACATACATGAACACCAGCACTAGTATTCAGTCAAGAGTGTTAAAAACTTCTTCCATTTCTCCCATTGTACTGCTCTCACAGCTATACCCAGAGCTCTATTGGGGTTTCAGTTCAATACATGATGGGTTTGACTAAGTTTGGAATAGTCATGGACATACTAACTTCCTTGGAAAAACAATTTCAGAGAACAGCTAGTTTGTGGACTTGGGTTTCCCTGAAGCCCAAAGGAAATCTCACTGAATAACTTTTCTTTTTCTTTCTTTTTTTTTTTTTAATGGAGTAACTCACCGAGCCAGGTTTGTTTGTGGTGTATCCATGGGCATTAGGAGTCCAGCTGAAAACCAATTTATTTTTGCCTAAAACTGGGCCTAAAACCTCAAGCAATTCAGCCTGTTTGGGGGGTCTCTTGAGAGACCATCAAGCAGTCAAACAAGTGGGAAGATTCTCAGAGAAAAGTATGCTAGAAGCTGAGTTTTAGAGATGAATGGAGGCCAGGCACAGTGGGTCCCTCCTGTAATCCTAGCACTTAGGGAGGCAAAGGTGGGAGGATTGCTTTAGGCCAGGAGTTCTAAACCAGCCTGAGCTAGAGCAAGACACTCATCTCTACAAAAAATAGAAAAATTACCCAGGCCTGGTGGTGCATGCCTATAGTCTGAGCTACTTGGGATGCAGGAGGATTGCTTGAGCCCAGGAATTTGAGGTTACAGTGAACTATGATGATGCCACTGCACTCTAGTCTGGTTGATAGAGAGGGATCTTGTCTCAAAAGAAAAAGATAGGAGTTACACAGGGGGATTAAAGGAAAGTGCATCCTAGGGAAAGGAGATTGTATGTGCAAAGGCATGGAGGCACAGGAAACCATGATGCTTTTAGGACACTATAAAAAGTAATTGGTATGATTGCAGCCAACACTTCTTGGGAGAGGGGTGGGAAAAAAGATGCTAGCTAGCCTTTGTGTACTGAACCAGGGTGTGGGAACTTTATCTTGGAAACCATGGGAAGTCACTGAATGAATATTAAGCAGGAAAGTGGCATGACTAGATTTTCAATGTAGAAAGATTTCCCTGGCTGGATAGTGAAATTTGAGGAAGCTGGGGGTAGAAACATGAAAACTTAGTTAAGAAAGTGCTGAAAATATTCCAGCCAAGAGACGTGGGTAGCTCAAACCAGGCTAATAGCTGTGAGAATGAAGAGGAGTAAATGACAGAAATGTGGAGAAGGCAGAATCTACATTTCTTAGATACCACAGAATACACCATTTTAAGAACTTGTACTCATTAAGTTCTAAATGAGTACTGTATATGAATACAACATTATGGAAAGGATGTTTTTAAAGGCCATTATAATGGAAAGTTTGAACAGTTATTTGTTCTAACAGTACAAAAGTGATTTAAATTTAGGACACATTTGCTGTTACCAAAGTTCCAACAGAGGCCTAAGGCTTCTCTGGATGCATCATAATTTCTTGGAATTTGAGGAACCTTACAGAGGATGTAGATTGTAGAGGATGTAGAGTATGCTAGTTGGTAATTTAGCTTGATACTATGTTTACCATAAGCATTAATTATGATTGATGATTTTCAAATATATTAACATGAGATTATGCTATATAACTATATAAAATAGTAATTATAAACAACTTTGAGAAATGAAAAATGTTTATTTTTTACAAAAATTTTCATAAATGCATTTTATACTCGATATGCATGCTACTATAACAAAGCAACTGAAAATATAATTACAGTTAAGATACTTTTATGCATATTTAAAAAGTAATATTTTAATCCCCCCAATTTTTAAAAATTGAAAGTAGAATAAGCAATTCTTCAAAAAACACTCATTTCCCCATGCAATCATAGCAATGAATTAACCAAAAAAAAAATTAAAATAATCAGTCAATGAACATTTAAAAGCCCCTGTCACTTCATGAAACCCTTTCTGTTTGGGCCCAAGTTTAGATATGCTTGTATTCAATGTATTTATCTATTTCCTCTGTGTTACAACCATTAATGCCTTATCACTGAAGACCTTCTCATTTGGAGTTTTGTCCTCACTTGAATGGTAATTCAATTCTTACTGCAGTTAATTGTAGACTCACAGAAAGGACTATGTAGCACACTTGAGAATACATTCAGACTACTAAGATCCTTTTTTCATTCCATGTAAATTGTCCCTTAAAATTAAAACCAGGAATAAAATACAGCCAACTTATGGTATACCAGTTTTATATATGGTTATTCATTCTTTTTTTCCTGAGATATTAAGCAAGTTTGTAAGTAGTCTGTGTTCATGCAAAAAAATATATTTTCCCATTCTTTACATTCATTTTATAGCAGTTTATATTTTAAATAACTATATCACATTTGTGCTTTATACATCTGGAAAATAAAGGCTAATTCATTTCCTTTGCTGCAGAAAAATTAAAGATGTATTTGTTCTTTGATGGATAATATAATCAATTTAAAGGCTGATTTCAAGTTGCTAAAACATTGTTTGAAAAAATCCTGATGGAAAGTTCTATTTTTGTTCCCTCATACTTGCAGTTTTAATTAAATTGAGAATGAAAATGTGACTTCCTTATGTGAGGGAGACACCCTATGTTTAATCCTTGGCCTTAGGAGTTTATGAGTTCCTTATGCATGTATATAGACCTAGACCTACATACTATACCTGGCCAGAGTCTCCTCTCCCATCTTGAGAGGAATCTCAGTACATATAAAGACATTTTTTATGGCAAAAGGCAAAAAAGATTAGGTATGTATCCTATTTTATAATATACACAATAGGGTTAATTTGTAAAATCTGAGAATTACTAACACATTGAATAAGAAACAGATAAAAATGCCAAATATTTAAGAACACATTTATGCTTAAGTAACTGGTTCTTTGTCATACCTCTAGACTTAAATAGGATCCAACACCCAATATGAATATGACTGTCATAAGTAAATAGGCTTTTTCTATATTGATTAATGATAAACACAACTTTTTTCTCACTCAAAGCTGGGAAATCTGAAGAAGGATTTTTTATTAATACATTTTGTTTCATTTCTCATTTATTGAAAAATTAAGTGGCATTAAACAGAGAAATAGATAAATGTACATGCAATATATTTAGGGTCCACCATTACTTTTCTCAGCACATCTGGACTAAACCAGTCATTGGCCCAAGCATGATGATTTCCACACAGATCTGGAAGTCTAGTAGAAACATTTTTAATTGAAAAAAAGGAGAAATCTTAAGTTGTTCATAATCAGTCACATCTATTACGAAATATAAATAGAACCAAAATAAGTTTTAAATTATTTGCTTATATTACATTGTTCAAAATACTTTTAGAATCAAAGTCAACTATAAAATTTGATTGAGGGGAAGGACAGTGAGAAACAACTTTTTGTTGAAATGTGAGGCAACTTGTTCTTAAAATAGTATGAATATCCAATTAGGTAATAGTTTTCACTTTTAATTAGTCAAGTATATATATTAAATATAAAAAAACTAATGATATACAGATGTGGCCTTGGACATTTTAAGTATTTGTTCATTCAGAAATGCCTTTAAAAACAGTGGGCATAGAACTAGCTCATTTATTAAATGTCAAATTTATACGTGTAGGCTGGGCATAGTGGCTTACTCCTATAATCCTAGTACTTTGGAAGACCAAAGTAAGAGAATTGTTTGAACTCAGGAGTTTGAGACCAGCCTGAGCAAGAGCAAGACCCCATCTCTACTAAAAATAGAAAAATGAACCAGGCATCATGGTACAAACTGATAGTTCCAGCTACTTGGGAGGATAAGGTGGGAGCATCACTTGAGCCCAGGAGTTTGAGGTTGCAGTGAGCTATAATGACGTCACTGCACTCCATGAGGGGTGATACAATTAGACTCTATCTCAAAAAATAAAAAATTTATAAATGTAGCAGTGGAAATGGCTCAGCGCCTGTAGCTCAGTTGTTAGGGCACCAGGCACATATACCAGGGCTGGCAGTTTCAAACCCAGCCCAGGCCTGCTAAACTGTAATGACAAACTGCAACCCCCAAAACATTGTGGTGGGTGCCTATAGTCCCAGCTACTTGGGAGGCTGAGGCAAGAGAATCTCTTAAGCCCAAAAGTTTGAGGTTGCTATGAGCTGTGACGCCACAACACTCAACCCGAGGGCGACATAGTGAGATTCTGTCTTAAAAAAAAAAAATGTAGTAGTGGATATTTAGAGAGAATACACCCAAGGAATATTTAAAAGACTGGATAAATATACAAGTGAAACTGTAGTCAACTTTTGACCAGACTCCAACAGGTCCACATGATTTTGCCATTTTTAACTGACATTTATTTGCTATACTTCCTCCAACGGAAAGGAGCTGCTGGACAATGCACACATATATTTTGAATTAACACATGATTTGTTCATATGCTTTCAGAGTTCTCTCTCTACAGACGAAAAATACTTTCCTAGGGCCATGCCTTTTTCAGTCCATAGCTTAGAATTTCATTGCTATCTATGGTATCTGGCTTTAATTATATAAAATTGTTGGCACTCCAGTACAGAGTATATCTAAATACATTATAGAAGAAAGGAGGTTTTTGTGGTTAAGCTCGGGAGCATTTAAAGATTTTAGGAATGGAATTATGCCATTAGGAGCTATTTCTTAAACTCCTGGCTCCAGAGGATCCTCCAATTTCAGCCTTTTAAAGGGCTAGAATTATAGGCATGAGCCACTGTGCCCAGCCTTGAGATGTTTCTCCATGATGAATTTATAAAGTTTTGTAGGGGCATTTTGAAGAGGTTCTTCAAAATGATGTTGTTGAAAAATTAATTTTCTCTGGAAATAACATCCCCTCCTCCCCACATCCTGCCTTGATAGTTTTGCTGAAAGAGGGTGAAATAGAATTATAGCCATATTGGGTTTAACAGGCATGGCATGGATATATCAAAAATGGAAGACTGGAAGACCCAACAAGGAATATGGGTTAATTGCTGCCTGCCCTGAGAAATAACTGAGTTTCTTCTTCCAAGTCTTCCCTAAGGGTCCATTCATTGTAGAGTCAACAGACACCTTTTAGGATTATGGTAAGAAATCCATGAATATATCTATATTATCCTTGAATCATTTTATATGACATATTTCTAGGTAGTTCCTGGTTACTTTAATTAGATAAATAAATGGGAATATGTATTGAATGATCTTTGCAAGTAATAAATTGTTATATAAATATAACATTTGTTTAAAGAATGTATGAATTTGCATTTTTAGGAATATAAGTAAAAATCAGACAAAGAACTTTCTCACCTATGATAATATGAATTGTCATGTTTAAGGAATCTGAACTTATGCCGAATGTGAGTTATCATGTTTTGTTTCAGCATGATTTTGTACACCTAGCTTTAATTTTTAAAGTCTGATTTCATTGTTATTTTGACAGTAAGTTATTGAATGAGGTAGTCCACATTGCCTATATATTTGCTGTATCTGGTTACTATTCCACAAATAATTAAGTACAGTATATCAGTTATATTTTTCCTTTATGTTTAATCGGAGTTCTGTGAACATTGAGAATATATTACTTTTAGTGATACACAGTTCTTGAGAAAATATCTGGATTTTTACATTGCCATTTGTGATATTTTTAGCAGCCCATTACAATATCATTTTAATAAAAATAAAGTGTACTCAGTGATGATAGAGAAAATATTGTTAAAGACATCTTGGATCAGGAAAAGGGTCAGCCATCAAATCAGGTACTTATTCATTTTCAGTTGTGTCATTTTGACTCATTGCTTTCAAGAATAACTATAATATTGCTATACAATCCATTATAGTGAGAAGAACTTCCCTTGAACTTCACATGGAGATTGAGTAAAGCTCTTCTATTTGTTTTTTGAAGTACTCTCTCAGCTCAGGTCTCTTAGCCTTTAGTGTTGGTGTCAGCAAGCCATTTTGAACTGAGAACATGTCAGAATGGATGTGAATGGCTTTAACCTAAAAACCAAATGTAGAATACATCTTTAACAGGAATAGAACGCTATATTTATAGTATACATGTTAAAAGTAAACAGGCATATGGGAATAGATAAATTGATATGCAAACACTATGCTAAGTAAAAATTATGTTAATAATGTTTTAGCTCATTTGACATCTAAACGCCACCTTTTATTCCTTTTTTTTTTTTTTTAACTAATACCTTGTTCATTGGATAAAAGTGACATTTTTCCTTCCTTCTCATCCACTTAGCTGGTCAACAGAAATGAATTAGTTGTTTACTCTGTGTGTGTATCTTTGAAGATACAAAGATGAATCATGAATGCCCCTGTGCTTAGAGAGTGCACATTCATATCCATAGTGCAGACAGAGACACTGGCAATTATCAATACAGTATGCACAGCATGAAGGGCATCTAACTCAGTTATGATGGGGGGAAGGAGGAGCAGTCAGGGAAGACTTTGCAAATCAGGTATTAAAGAATGAGTAACAGTTAACTAGTAAAGGGGGAGAAGTGGCCAGAGAAGGGCATTATAGGCAGAGGACCCCCAAGAACAAAGCCATGAGTGGGGAAAAATGGAAGACTGTGAAAAGAATTCCAAGTGGTTTCTTCATGTTGTTATATAAAATAGGAGGTAAAGGATATGAAGGATGAAGCTGGAGTAGGAGAGGAGCTGGTTTATAGAGGAGCTCAAACTTTATTCTGAAGGTACCGAAGGTTTTTTAACAGTGCAATGATATGACTGAATACACATTTTAGAAAATCTCACCACAGGAAATGAGATGGTTTTTGAGAAAGTGAAGATTGGAATCAGGGCAACTAATCAGAAGGTTCTGGTTAATACATGGGAATAAAGATAAAAGCCTGCACTCAGGACATTAGCAGAGAAAGAGACAAGTAAATAGTTCTAATAGTGATGCAGGGATGAATTGTCAAGATGTGGTAAAGTGGCAGGCAGCCTTGAGGACTGCCAAGTTTCTGGTTTGGATGGCTGCTTAGAGATAGTGGTGCCATTCATGGGAGGAGGAATATAAATAAAATCAGACTACAAGTTTAAAAAATGTTCTGCCATGGATATTTTTATCAAATCTATTAAGGGAGGCATGGAGAAAAAAATAATAAATGAATAAATTTTTTAAAGGGGGGGCATGGAGGGATCAGATTTAGTGTTCATACTATTTATTTCCATGAGGAAGATGCCAGACCTCCTCATACAAAGACTCTTTAGAGCACCAAATAGAGACCAGAAAAGATAGAGAAACTGATCCAGCAGGGCCTTAGCAGGGCCTGAGCCGGGTCCCCTAGCAGAAAGGGTCAGAGTCAGTTCTCTAAGAATTTATGATCTGAGCTGGGACAGAATCCTAGAGTGACACTACCTCTAAGAAATTATATCCCATTTATAATTTGGAGGTAAGTTCTTGCTATGCCTCTTTTGTTGAGAGTTCTTATCACAAAAGGGTGCTGAATTTTGTCAAATGCTTTTTCTGTGTCTATGGAAAGGATCATATGGTCTTTGTTTTTGTAACTTTTTATGTGATGGATGAAATTCAAAGATTTGTATATGTTAAACTATCCTTGAATTTCTGGAATGAAGCCCACTAGATTGTGATGAATTATTTTTCTGATCTACAGCTGGATTCAGTTTGCTAAGACTTTATTGAGAATCTTTGCATCTATATTGATAAGGGATATTGGTCTGTAGATTTCTTTCTTAGTTGTGACCTTTCCTGGCTTTGATATTAAGGTAATATTGGCTTTTCAAAATGAATTAGGAAAGATTCCTTTCTTCTCAAAGAACATATATGACAAACCCACAGCCAACAAAATATTGAACGGGGTAAAATTGAAAGGATTCCCTCTGGGAACGGGAATCATACAAGGTTGCCCACTATCTCCACTTCTGTTCAACATAGTGCTAGAAGTCCTAGCCTGAGCACTCAAGCAAGAGGAGGAAATCAAGGGTATCAAAATGGGGAAAGAAGATGTCAAATTATCTCTTTTTGTTGATTACATGATCTTATACCTATAATATCCCAAAGATTCAACCAAGAGACTCCTAGAATTGATAAATAAGTTCAATGAAGTCTCAGACTACAAAATAAATGTTCACAAATGTTTTCATATACACCAACAACAGTCAAGCTGAGAATCAAATCAAAGACATAATACCTTTCTCAGTAGCAACAAAGAAAATAAAATACCTAGGAGTATACCTAACAAAGGATGTCAAAGACCTCTACAAGGAGAATTATGAAATACTGAGGAAAGAAGTTGCAGAGGATGTAAACAGATGAAAAAGTATACTATGCTTGTGGGTGGGTAGAATCAACATTGTTAAAATGGCTATGCTATACAAAGTGGTTTTCAGATTCCATTCCCATTAAAATACCAACTCCATTTTTTTAAGATCTAGAAAAAATATTTCTATGCTTCATATGGAACCAGAAAAGACCCTGAATAGCTAAGACAACCTTATATAATAATAACAAAGCAGGAAGCATCACTTTATCAGACTTCAAGCTATACTATAAGACTATAGTAACCAAACAGCATGGTACTGGCACAAAACAAAGACAGAGACCTAAGGATCATAATAGAGAACCCAGAGATGAAGTCATCCTCATCTTCCCATCTGATTACTGACAAAACAGATAAAGACATACACTGGGGAAAAGAATCTCTGTTTAATAATTGGTACTGGGAAAACTGGATAGCCATATGTAAAAGACTAAAACAGGATCCATACCTCTTATCACTCACAAAAATTAATTCACAATGAATAAAACACTTAAACCCAAGGCAGGAAACTATAAGAATTCTGGAATAAAATCTTAAAATTCTGTATATATCAGTCTAGGCCAAGAATTCATAAAGAAGATCCCAAAAGCAATTGCAGCAACAAAAATAAATAGGACCTGACCAAATTAAAAAGCTTCTGCATAGCCAAGTGCACAATCAAAAGATCAAACAGACAACCCACAGAATGGGAGAAAATATTTGCATGCTATATATCTAATAAAAGAATGATAACCAGAATTCACAAAGAATTCAAGCAAATCATCAAGAAGCAACCAAACAATTTCATTAAAAAGTGAGCAAAATAGATGAACAGAAACTTTTCAAAGGAAGATATACTAACAGTGCTCAATGTCTCTAATCATTAGGGAAATACAAAGCAAAACCACAAGGAAATGGTATCTAACTCCAATGAGAAAAGTCTCAAAACAACAGATGCTGTTATGGATGTGGAAAGAAAGGAACTTTTACGCACTGTTGGTAGGATTGTAAACTTTGCAACCTCTATGGAAAATTGCATGGAGATACCTCAAAGAACTTAAAGTAGACCTTTGGGTAATACCCAAAAAGGTAATTTTACAAAAAAGGACACCTACACTCAAATGTTTATAGCAGCACAATTCAATCTGCAAAGATGTGAAAACAACCCAAGTGCCCACCTATATACAAATGGATTAATAAAGTGTGATATAAATGGATACTGTGGAGTACCACTCAGCCATAAACAATGGCAATCTAGTATTTTTTATGACAACTTGGAGGGAACTGAAAACCATTCTTCTAAGAGAAAGCTCACAAGAATGGAGAAACAACACCAAATTGGTACTAATCAATCAACAATTAAGTGCACATATGGAAGTAAATCTCAGTGAAAAGCTGGGGAAAGATGGGATGAGGGAATGGGTAGATTCACATCTATTGGGTATAGTGCACACTTTCTGGGTGAAGGGCACACTTACAAATGTAACTTTGACTCAATCAGTACCAAAAACAAGGTATGTAAGCAAAACATATACCCTCTAATAGTCTGAAAAAAATAAATTAACTATATAAATGTGGATCAAAGATAGATAAATAAATTAAAGAAAATAATTTGGGGAAAAAAAAAGAAATTGTATTCCAAATGACAAGTGGAACCAAATTCAATGATTTTTTTGAGATAATACATCCATATCATTAAATACTAAACAAGGTTATAAATTGCCAAAACTTTAAATAATTAATTTAAAATATATGTTAAATACAAATATATATTCTCTTGTTATTTTGTGTAATTGATATTTATTGAGCAACTACTGGGCATCAGACATTGTGTTAGGCCCAGGGACACAAAGAACAAGATACAGTCCCTGACCACATGAGGCTTACAATCTAATGAAAGATGCTGCAGTATGCTATTACTATTTTGGAGACAAGCACAGAGAAGATAGGCCAAGTCAGTTGTTTCCCCAGTACCCACTCCCCACTTCTTTTATGCCAGTATAAGCCTGATTTTCATTTGAGGATAAAACAATCTATGTCAACATGATAATCCTATTTCCTGATTTTCCAGCCTCCCTTGCAGCTAGGAGATAGCAATGATATCTTTTTATGGCTAGTAAGAAGGGAAAGTTTTTGCTTTGCTAATAAAAGATTTAGACATGACTATCTCTACTCATTCCTTCTTCTTTCTTTCTTGAATGTGGTCAATATCCAAAGCTTTGGCAGCCACCTTGTGATTATGAGGTAATAAGCCAACATACAAACAATGAAGAGTGGAAAGGTAAGAAGAGCCTAAGTCCTTGAGGATGAGGACCTGCATCTACCTCCTATCTTTTTTTTTTTTTTTTTGGAGACAAGGTCTCACTATGTCATCCTTGGTAGAGTGCTGTGACATCACAGCTCACAGCAACCTCCAACTCTTGGGTTTTAAGTGATTCTCTTGCCTTTCTCTTGCCTTAGCCTCCCAAGTAGCTGGGACTATAGGCATCCACCACAATGCCCAGCTATTTTTTGGTTGCAGTTGTCACTGTTGTTTAGCAGGCCTGGGCCAGGCTCAAACCTGCCAGCTTTGGTGTATGTGGCTGGTGCCCTACTCACTGAGCCACAGGCGCCACGCCCAACCACCTATCTTTCAACTTCTTACATGAGGGGACAAAATTCCCCAACCTGATGAATTTAAGACACTGTCAGTCAGGTTTTTGTTAGAGCTGAATACATTTCTGATATACCACCTAACCCAGGCTTGGGCAGGATTAACTGAAAAAGGATGCCTGAGTTGAACTTGGAAGAATAAATAGGCTTGAGCCAACTAAAGATAGCAAGGGGGAAAGGGAGTGGTTACCACATGGCCTAAGAAGAGGAGGGTACCCCAGGCTAAGGCAACATGTGCCATACCATATCTGGTACATTATAAATGCAGACTGAAGCATGTGACAGGAAGATGAAAGAAAGAAAGAAGAAAGAAATGAAGAAGAAGAAAGAGATGGTACTAAACAGATAGACTATGGCCCAATTATAAAAGATCGATATATGTAGCTAAGGAGTTTGGATAAGATTCTTTAAACTATTTTTCAGCAGTGAGAGACAGAACCCAATTACTCTGTTAAGAATGGATTGAAGTGGGACAAGAGTGGAAACTAGAAGATTAGCCAACAGGCAAGAAGGATAGTGATTTGGGCTGTGAAGTTGGCTGTAGAGATGGAAATAGACTTTGTAGGTAAAAGGGACAGGACCTAGTAATTGGTTTGGATAAGTGTTAAAGAAGGAGATATAAAAATGGTTCTAGACTAAAAGTCTAATCAGTAAGTAGAAAAAATAAGTCAAACACATTGTTTTGCCAACACTGACTTTAACTGTGGGCTGAAAACCTACAGTTTTTTTTAGAAATAAATCAATGATAAAAAAGTTTCTATATTATATAATAATTATATGTTTTCCCATAAAACCAAACTACCCAATTGTGAACTTGCAAAAAAAGTATGAGAATTATTAATCTCCTTTTATGTCAAATATTCCATACAGCAGATTTTATAATTTTTATTTAGCAAAGTTTTTGTTGAAGAAAGAAGGAAGGCAATAAGTAATGTTAGCTTCCTTTCCTAAAATTACACTCTTGTCATTGCAAAGAGATTCTATAGGGTTTTTAAATAATATTGTAACATTTAAACACAGCATTGGAATAAAACACCATGTTTCCAATTTATGGAAATTAAATTATATCTATTTATTTCTAATTTTAAGTTTAATTCAGATCAACCTAGTTTCATAAGGATGAACTCTTAAAACGTTTGCTGAATGATTTAAACTTTGGACTTGGATATCTATTTGTGTGTGTGTGTGTGTGTGTGTGTGAGAGAGTGGGTGTAATTAAAGTGTCAACGGACCTCTCAGTTTTGAAGAAGCAGGAAAAGGAAAAACTGATAATGGATTATGGATTAACTGAAATAATTTATGTTGAACTTTGGATCACAAATGGGAGCATACCCTACTCAGGCACACGGCCTGGTTTTTCCTTTCCTGCGGTCAGCTGAGGGAACACACTGGCTATAGTGGGGAGGATGCCATTGACCAACAAAAGGGAAAATGAGAACAGAGAAAATCAAGAGGCGAAAGCCTTGGCCGTAGAATGAAAGGTCTCTAGGATGCCACATGACTTCCCTGTATTTGAGGTTACCATGGTGAGGGCAGATTATTAGAGCAGAAACTCTACTTAAGGCATGTAGAAAGTCAAGAACACATCTTCTCTCATTAAAAGATCTAACAAGAGCAAATGGTTAACACTGGAAACTTAGCCAAAAGTCTCTTTTAAATGTAATCTTAAGAGCTGGTATTTTTTTCCATGAAGAGAAATGTGGACGTTACTACGCTGTTTGCCCTGGTGTCAAGCCTTTCATGACCAGCAGGGGTCGAGCATGCCTTGTGAATACCTGGATGTCTGTGGGATCTGAGCAGGCTTAGGCAAGCCTGTCTCCAGTCAGCTTGCACCCAGCCCCCGAAATTGCTGTGTAGATCCAAAACAACTAGGTCTGGGAGCAAGTCTGCATGGTCACATAGAATCCAATTTATCCCTTGGTCTGCATGATCACATAGAATCCAGTCATACAACTAACTTCCCATTAAGGAAGGGCAAAGAAGTCTGTTCTAGAATATTGGAAATTTAATAACCTTTCATTCAGAAAAATACGGTAACTTGTCTGAATGCCTCAGATTTTATAATTTATTAAAATAAAGGCCTACTTATCCAGGTTTTAATTGCTCTGAGATATACTGACAGATGAGGGTAAAGTAGTGTTTCTCAAATTGGCTTAATGTAAAGAGCTCCTTCAAAGGAAAAGCAATATATTTAGACCCCAAAACTGTATTTAGATTTCCTCATTCTGAAATTTAAGAAATTAAAATTTTAATCTGTAGAAATATTTTTTATTGTAAATTAAAGCACTGTAACAGTTTAATATTTAAAATCGGAACATGTTTTTAGGTTATCATCATATGAGCATACAAAATTTAAAGATTCTTATAAAATTTATAGACTCGAACGCCATACCGTAGTTGTTGGTTGTTCCCACCAATGGGGGAAACAAAATCAAATGAAAAAATTATTTCAATGAAATATTTCTTTTACAAAAAGCAATGCTTTAAAATACAAAAGCTTAAAAAATCAGTATATTAATATTTTTTTCTATTGGAGGAATTTTTCTTGAATTTTTGACTAAAGAGGATATATAGATGACATATAGAAGTAGAACTAAATATGCTCATGCACTCGGTTATAATAAGTACACAACCTTGCAAAGACAAAAGTCTTAGAGGGCTGCTATGTCCTCTCCTAGCACATTTTTTTATTTTTTGTTTCTTCTCAATAGAGGACATGCTGGGCTGACAGATCATTGTCCCAAGGAGCCCAATGTCCTTCCAGCAAGTAAGCTTTGCCTGCTGCACCCAAGAAGACAATCCCCATAAAAATAAAAATAGGATAGAACTATGGTCTTCAGTATCACAGGTGGCTTGGGAAACAGACCATGTTACACATGATCTACTAGTGACAGCTAGGGTACTATTTCAACCTTATGAATGTTCGTCATTATAAGGACAACCAGCACAATCTCACTTGACATATGACCTATTTTAGTTCAGGAGGCAGGTTGTTACAGAGCCAGCCTGAAACAAGCCTTTAGGGGTCTGCTGGTACACAGCCTGCCAGCAGGCCACACCATAAAAGGTAAGGAATCTAGGTCAGGGTCATTGTGGGTTAATTTGTATCACTGCTGAAAGGGCTGTAAGAGTATAGGGATAGTAACAGTTACCTGTTCAAAAGAATGGAGTCCACTTTCTTTTCCTAACCTCACCATATCTTCCAATATGGCTTTCTTCAGATCCTGAATTGAACCACATGAGTAAAATTACAAGACAAGAACACATTTCACAACGGAGGTAGAGGAAACAACACACTGTGAGTAAAGTGCCACTGGAGATTGCGGGGACCTATGCCCCCCCCATGCCCTCTCACATATGCAGCTGACACTTCCTAGCAGCATACCAGTTTCCACCTCTGTCATCAATCAGGTAAGTAAGTGCTAGAAAGGCCAAAGGAGTGACCATGAACAACAGGCTGAGGAACCACTCATTTTTTTTTTTTTTAAAGCAACCCTTTGGGCCAGGCATGGTGGCTCACATCTGTAATCCTAACACTCTGGAAGGCTGAGATGTGAGGATCAGTTAAGCTCAGAAATTCAAGACTAGGCTGAGCAAAAGGGAGACTTCCATTTCCACTAAAAAAAAAAAAAGAAAGAAAGAAAAATTAGCCAGGTGTTGTGGCGAGCACCTGTAGTTCCAGCTACTTGAGCTTGAACCCAGTAGTTTGAGGTGGCTATGAGCTAGGCTGAAATCATGGCACTATAGCCTGGGACAAGAGAGTAAGACTCTGTCGCTAAATAAATAAATAAACAAAAGCAGCCCTTTGGTTAGCCTGGTGAGTTATGCTAAACCTCGATGAGCCCAGGGACCAGTGGGATTGGTAGGGTTATGGCTGTTGCTGAAATGGACCATGTGACACAAGGGGCTGATGCTGCACAGAAACACAGTGACCTCCTCCAAAAAGCCCTGCAAGTGCCATTAGACAATTTCAGGAAGGTGTGAATGGCTAATGCTCTAAACAAGAAGAATTGTGTTACTTTTTTATTTATTTATTTTTTTTGAGACAGGAGCCTCAAGCTGTCCCCCTGGGTAGAGTGCCGTGGCATCTCAGCTCACAGCAACCTCCAACTCCTGGGCTCAAGCAAGTCTCCTGCTTCTGCCTCCCAAATAGCTGGGACCACAGGTGCCCAAAACAACGCCCCGCTATTTTTTGGTTGCAGCC